TGTTCCAGCTTGGCTTAGACCGCTGGTTAATATTTCATCCCATCTCTTATATATCAACTGAGCATGAATGGGAGTATGTGGAATAGGTTACTAATTACTCTACAGCATTCTCTGTAAGAAGGCATGACTTGGTTTAAGGCTTGTTTTTAAATCAAAAATATTCGAAATTTGGTTGCAATTACACWTTGTGAAAAGCCGCGAATTTTGAAGGGTTGCGCGTATGACGTCACTTCCTTCGAAYCACTMAAAGTTGGCAGGAACGCAATCKCTTAATGGCGGACCCAAACGGCCAAACTTTACTAGCTAAATACAGCATCTTCCCAGTCTTGTATCGAAAAAGAATTTGGACAGTAAGCTATATTACGTTTTATATGGTACAATTTTCAGGGACGGTGTCATTTTCGTAAGACTAGCACTTAAAGTTATTCACGGATATAAGGTGTGCACTCTATCATATATTTTTCTTATACTTTAACTCCATCAAAAGGACAAGCATTAAATAGTTTAATCGGAAAAAAAAAAAAAATTTGTGCAAACGCCTGTAAAAATATACATTTTTAAACAAAACCCGTTCCTCTTCTTACCTGTTCCCAACTGACAGTGTAGCCCTGTCCTTGTGCTGCAAGTTTCTCCGCGCTGTAAAAAGAATCCAACATTGAAAATGGTAACGGTTTTGGCATAATGATTGAGGTATGCAGCAGAGGCCAAATATGAAGGAGTTATGGGTGCATGATGTACGCTTTCATGGGAACCATATGTTAAAAAGTTGACGAAATCTTTTAATTCRCAATTGAAGTAATAACTTATTGTATATCTGTCTGGGGAAGGTGTTTCACTACCTCTKTTTTTTGGATCTATTGAAGCGTTACACASGAAAGCTGCAGGAATTATACATAGTACCTYCTTCTGTAAGTAATCAAGAAAGTACATTGGCAGAGTCTTGGGAATATGTATGAGAAGAAGCTAGCTATAGCTATAATTATAAACTCTGTAGATGATCATAAACKTTCTTCAATGTTTAGACAAGTAAAGTCTGCAAGAAGAGGAAATTTAGTTGAAATGAATACAGCAATATCAGACTTTAGCAGACAATCATGGTTCTTTAGTTGTTTGGAATAACTTAGATAAGGACATTAAAAATGCAGAAAATATTTAAAAAAATTAAATCTGCGTTATATGTAAAAAGAAGATCTGGAATGGTAGAATCAATAAGTTTCGTTAAAGGAACGTGCAACAATTTAAATAAGAGAACAGACGTTTTTATATTATTGAATTTTATTATAGTTGTTGCTGTGCTGTGCTGTGCTGTGCTCTCTGTGCGAAGAATCCTTTCACTGTTTTTAGTCTTGAGCTGCGAGGTGTTCTTGTTGCAGCGAATTGCACGGTTATTTCATAATTTTCATAATTATGTACACAGTCAATGTCATTAACGTTGTCCACCGAAAAAAGACATTTACACATTTACACATTTACACATTTACACATTTACACACTTAGACACTTAGACATTTAGACATTTAGACATTTAGACTAAAAGAAATATCTCATGTTTCCTCAAACATTCTGGCATAAAACAAACGCCGAAACACCATTCTCCACCTTAAATCCTCACTAAATGGTCGGGGCATTCTGGATTTTCGATTCACGAGTTGAATTTTACAT